GACGATTGACGTTATGGTATTCACATTTTATTGAGATAGTCTGTAATTTTTGTGCTAAATACAATCGATTGTCCCCATCCGTGTTCTTGTTCATTACACTGCTACTACTATTACTACTACTACTAATTCTACTACTAGTACTGCTACTACTTTAAATACAAATACTAGTACTACTACTAATAATAATAATATTAATACTAATAATAATACTAGTATTATTAATAATATTATTCATATTTCTAATGCTAATACTACTACTACTACTTTGTTTTGAGCTACTTATATTGATATAAGTAGTATATAACGTGCGTTAAAAGAACGTAATATCCGGCAGCAGAGGATGGCGAAGTTCAAGAAAGGAAGAGCAAGAACACAATGGAATTGTAAGAAAGCGCATGTACAACGGAATGGGCGACAATGGATTCGTGTTTGCAACGGGAACAGTACAGTTTCACATGATCGAATGATATTTTGCGAATTGACGATTGACGTTATGGTATTCACATTTTATTGAGATAGTCTGTAATTTTTGTGCTAAATACAATCGATTGTCGCCATCCGTGTTCTTGTTCATTACACTGCTACTACTATTACTACTACTACTAATTCTACTACTAGTACTGCTACTACTTTAAATACAAATACTAGTACTACTACTAATAATAATAATATTAATACTAATAATAATACTAGTATTATTAATAATATTATTCATATTTCTAATGCTAATACTACTACTACTACTTTGTTTTGAGCTACTTATATTGATATAAGTAGTATATAACGTGCGTTAAAAGAACGTAATATCCGGCAGCAGAGGATGGCGAAGTTCAAGAAAGGAAGAGCAAGAACACAATGGAATTGTAAGAAAGCGCATGTACAACGGAATGGGCGACAATGGATTCGTGTTTGCAACGGGAACAGTACAGTTTCACATGATCGAATGATATTTTGCGAATTGACGATTGACTTTATGGTATTCACATTTTATTGAGATAGTCTGTAATTTTTGTGCTAAATACAATCGATTGTCCCCATCCGTGTTCTTGTTCACTACACTGCTACTACTACTACTACTACTACTACTACTACTACTACTACTACCACTACTACTACTACTACCACTACTACTACTACTACTACTACTACTACTTTGTTTTGAGCTACTTATATTGATATAAGTAGTATATAACGTGCGTTAAAAGAACGTAATATCCGGCAGCAGAGGATGGCGAAGTTCAAGAAAGGAAGAGCAAGAACACAATGGAATTGTAAGAAAGCGCATGTACAACGGAATGGGCGACAATGGATTCGTGTTTGCAACGGGAACAGTACAGTTTGATATGATCGAATGATATTTTGCGAATTGACGATTGACTTTATGGTATTCACATTTTATTGAGATAGTCTGTAATTTTTGTGCTAAATACAATCGATTGTCCCCATCCGCGTTCTTGTTCACTACACTGCTACTGCTATTACTACTACTACTACTAATTCTACTACTACTACTACTACTTTGTTTTGAGCTACTTATATTGATACAAGTAGTATATAACGTGCGTTAAAAGAACGTTATATCCGGCAGCAGAGGATGGCGAAGTTCAAGAAAGGAAGAGCAAGAACACAATGGAATTGCAAGAAAGCGCATGTACAACGGAATGGGCGACAATGGATTCGTGTTTGCAACGGGAACAGTACAGTTTGATATGATCGAATGATATTTTGCGAATTGACGATTGACTTTATGGTATTCACATTTTATTGAGATAGTCTGTAATTTTTGTGCTAAATACAATCGATTGTCCCCATCCGTGTTCTTGTTCACTACACTGCTACTGCTATTACTACTACTACTAATTCTACTACTACTACTACTACTTTGATTTGAGCTACTTTTATTGATACAAGTAGTATATAACGTGCGTTAAAAGAACGTTATATCCGGCAGCAGAGGATGGCGAAGTTCAAGAAAGGAAGAGCAAGAACACAATGGAATTGTAAAAAACCGCATGTACAACGGAATGGGCGACAATGGATTCGTGTTTGCAACGGGAACAGTACAGTTTGATATGATCGAATGATATTTTGCGAATTGACGATTGACTTTATGGTATTCACATTTTATTGAGATAGTCTGTAATTTTTGTGCTAAATACAATCGATTGTCCCCATCCGCGTTCTTGTTCACTACACTGCTACTGCTATTACTAATACTACTAATTCTACTACTACTACTACTACTTTGTTTTGAGCTACTTATATTGATACAAGTAGTATATAACTTGCGTTAAAAGAACGTTATATCCGGCAGCAGAGGATGGCGAAGTTCAAGAAAGGAAGAGCAAGAACACAATGGAATTGCAAGAAAGCGCATGTACAACGGAATGGGCGACAATGGATTCGTGTTTGCAACGGGAACAGTACAGTTTGATATGATCGAATGATATTTTGCGAATTGACGATTGACTTTATGGTATTCACATTTTATTGAGATAGT